GGAATATACATACATTCTTGATAACAAACCACTCAGTTCGAAGGACTTAACTTTTATTTTTACTTCTAAAATAAAAGTTACGGAATAACTCTTATTTTCAACTTTTAAAATTAAAATAAAAAATAACTTTTATTTTTATTATAAAAATCATAATTTATTCTTATTTTTGATTTTGAAAGAAACAATTAAAAATAACTCTTAATTCTGATTTCTATTGAACAATTCAAAAGAAGAATTAAACATAATTTATAATATAAATATTGATGTTGATATTGATAGCCACGACTGAAATATATCTTTCGGTTTACCTTCACATTGATTTATTTACTTAAATTTATCCTTCATAACTGTTATTTGCGGTTCCTGCATTAAAGGCATTAAAGGCGAGATTCAGTAAGGTATTCGATTATGTAAACCGTTCACTTCTTTCACGAAAGCTTGACCTTCTAGGGTTTCCGCCCAATCTTTTGAGATGTATTTCTAGCTAACTGTGTTCTAGGTCTCAAAAAGTCCTGTTCAAAAACTCCTATTATGGTTATTTCTGGAGTACCACAGGGTAGCCATCTACATAGGCCCACTTCTTTTCACACTCTTTATTAATGACCTGCCTTCTGTATTAACAAACTTAATTCCCTACAGCATATTATATCCTCTACTAACCCCATTCCTCCTATTAAATCCCTAATACTAGCCTATCTCTCCCGTACTTAGTTTTATTTTATTTTTGTTTTGTTTTTGATTTTAGTAATTTTGCTTGTTTAGCTCTTTAAGTTGTGGTTAGCTCGAATTTTTCACGAATATTAGTCTAACATCTATCTTCCCTGCATGTTCGCTGCCGGTTGGGTTAAATGTGTCGCGCGCGCGTCGGTTGGGTGGAAGGAGGGCTGCGTTCTGCTGGGTAACAGGCTTCGGGTTGGGGTCACATGGGTCACTTAATGGTGCAGTCATTGCATATCAACGTCCATACATGTGCTAAACATGAGTTTGCGGGTCATTTTTTAGAATTAATATAATTATATGGTATATTTATATTTGAATTACAAGCCTATATGCTTTGATTTAGAAGAGACAAAAATAAATAAATAAATGACATAGAGTAACCAGACATGTGTTATAAACATTTTAGAATGATGCCAGGTCCAAAATAAAGAAATACGTACCTTACCAGGAACAGAATACTACCTTTTAAGATACAATCTCAACAAATTAAAAATACCACTTTAAACAAGGCATCAATCGACTATTAAGGCCCAGAAACACACAGACATACGCTGAATTTGAAAAAGAATTTGCTAAAAAAAAATTTGCTAAATTTGTTAAAAAAATTTAAAACAAATAATATGAAAGCAGAAAGGATTTGTAATTTGATGCAAATTATTTCTCTTTTTTTTGCTTACGATACGTTTCGGCATTGTATAGAGGCCCTATTTTTTCTGTATTGCCTATCAGTGATTTTTGTTGGTTGAAATTGGCAATCGTTTTGAAAATTCTAGTGTGCATAATTAGTTATACAAATTGTAAATACTTTATTGCGCCACCTGACTTTGTAAACTATTTAATTTATATATTACCGAAAACTCTATTTCCAGAAATGTCTTACCTCCTTGCTCATCCAACATAACAATGCTTCGCATTCCAACTTCCGCGCTCTAAATAGAAATACATGTTCATTTTGAAATTAGTAGCATACGCCGTGGATTACAAAAAACACTATAGTTTTTCTTAATTTTATTAAGAACGTAAGTAAAATTTTAAAGTTCGGCATGCCGAAAAATTCTTTTGACTGTGTAAATTTGGATTCTATTTACACATTTAATGATGGATTTCAAATGTTGCTCACTTATTTTTAAAGAACTTAAGATAGTATACCTAAACGCATACACTTCATAAGTACATGTATGTATGTAACTTTGACTACCCATGTCGCACAGTGGGTAAAGTACCAAATTTTAAATGAAGAATTTTTTAAACATGCTTCCGCTATCCATTTCCAAATCTTCAAGATAATAATTTGCTTTACTTTGAAATTTCCTTTTGAATTAAAAAATTTCTTTCACCTTCTGCTTTTGTTTCCATTTTACATGTGCTTTACAGGAGCAGCAGTTTACAAAGTTGAAGGTTCATGCAACTTTAGATCGGCCCGCAAACATTCAAGCGCCGTTTTTGCGTTTGTGTGCGAAGACATCGCGTAAACGGAACATTGGGAATGGTGGCTACTGTAATACACTTGTACGTGTCGGCAGCGCAGCGGCAGAGCATTTTCCTATTCACAGTAGGTAGGGCCGTGCCGAGCCCGCTTCAAATATATATTTAGCTAATAGTCTCGTGCAATTGTTAAGTTCTCTTTTAAAGTGTCATGCAAGTTGTAGTACTAGCTCTATTTATTATATAGAGTAATGCAATCAAGGTAATGTGAAGATCAACCCTTTTTATACACAGTACTTAAAGAGTAAAGTGGTATATTATACTTTATTTCGAAGTATTTAACACACAGAATGAACCGTTTCTGACCTTAAAAAGTATATATCGTATATATCTTCTTGATCAGCATCCATAGCCGAGACGATAGAGCCCTGTCTGACTATCCATCCGTCTTGTTTGGAGTTCCGAGTTCAGAGAGACTATAAGAGCCAGAGAATATAAGTTTTGGATCCGTACTGCTGTGATATTACACACGCCTACACAAAGGACGCAAATCTTTGACATCTTCAAAGATACGAGAATCGTATAGAATGTCCATATATAACATATTGATCAGATTGATATCTGGATCAGATCGGATCATTACTAAAGCCAAAATGAAGAAATTAATTTTTAGTTGCTAACACATCAGTGAAACACATCTCTCTCTCTCTAGCATACTAAATATATAAAACGACTTGCGGATTAGAGAAGTGATGTAGATGAAAATTAAAACAAAAAAATGTAAGCCGATAAAATATTTTAAAGTCCGTGAAAAATCTAAGATCGCAAATTATCGTTCCTTTTTTTTAAATTAAAAATTTGTAAGAAAATAAATTTTGAATACAAAATGCCAAACGCAACCTGGTGATGTAGCGCCCTGTCTGCAGTTAAGAATATTCCCCAGATGTCGTCTGACCCTGGTATTATACATATGTATGTAATATCCAAATATATCAATATCAAATATAAAACATCTGATGGCATGTGAAAAGTAGCATTATTGCGAGTGTTCACCAGTCCTGGCACTAACCAAAGGCAATATAATATCAAGATAAATGGATGTGTCTTACACGCACTCATACATTTGTAGCTGGCTCGGGGTAAGCTGCACGCACATTGAGCGGTGACGTTCCGCTTGTATGGGATGACTTTTCTAGATACTGTATAGTAGTGTCCTGCTGAAACCGGTCGGACCCATACCTTAAGCCTAGTATTCAGATCCGAAAACACGTCTGCTAGCAAACAGTGCAATATATTTTGCTAGCAGCAGAGTGTGACCAGAGGTTAAAGCCGCATTCCGTACGGTTACACTTCTCAGGAAGCCTTTTGGCTTTGTTTACTTTTTTAAAAGGTTTGAAAAGTGAATAGTGAATAAGTGGTTAATAAAACAATGCTAGCAAAATGGGACCATGCAGGAGATTTATTTTAGTGGGATTGGCGGATCTTACAGTAGAGGAGGAGGAGAAAAATCAACGACATAAACTCCGACAACATCGCTTAAACCCATATCGGCAGGAAAGAAACCAAGGGGGCCGATTGTCTATACATGTGAGTATAATAAGTCATATGAACATGTGTATATGTATGGAAACCCATCTAACAATACTCTTTGCACATTCCGCAGCTTGCAAATATCACTCAAAGGCCATCATGTGCAGCCTTCTTGGATTGGTGAAGTAGCAAGGCCGTGTCAAGGAATATTTTGTAAAACTTCTATTCGGCACGACCCTGTGGAGCAGGACTTCGTTTCAAAAGGAAAACAACTTAAACAAACAGCCCAGCCGGGTCTGTGTCTTGGCAACATGATGCTACTGGATTGGTGGATTAGATAAGTTAAAAATTGAAAACGCAAGTAAATTCCATATAATCTCATTAATCTATAATAATTGTTTCCTTTTTTGCCGTTTGATGGCCTCAAGGTCGTTGAGAAGCACTGTGGTCATTTACCTTTCCACTTCAGCGACATTTTGAGACTTACATATCTCACTGTTGGCTAGGTAGCCTCGTGAAATATAAAACAAATGTATATTTGTGCCGGCCATTTTTCTTAAATATGCGCCCTTGCAAATCAGATCCGTCCACCGCCGCCAGTATAGAAATGCACAATGCGTTGGTAGTCATATTAAATTAGAAAATTTGTTCCATGAGAAGTATTGAACGATTTATTTTCATGAAGTATTCATGATTTTTTAAATAATTTGTCTTTGTGTAGGTTATATAGCCAAAAGCAATGGATCGTACTTTTTTTACGATCCATTTCTCATAATCTGATCCATGAATGCTGGCATCAAAACCGCAGATCATGTGCATTTTGCTCTGCAAAGTCCATGCCTTGGACCAATTTTATAATTTTAAATTCACCTGTTTTAAATCTTATTATATTGTTTCCTTGCAATAAATTTTAATTTCTTTTTTTGTAGCCAGAACGCTAGTGCGTTAGATGAGTACTTATTAACTTTACCAGCAAATTTGTCAATACAAATTTATTGAATTTCATTAAAAAACGACCCACTTTCCAAACAGAAAAAGCAGAGCACAGCAGAAAACGCCCAAGGTCCTATGCATTTTTGAAAATACTGTAGATATGTACATATGTTCATATGTATTTAATAATTAGAAAATAGGGAAATCAAAAAGAAAAATTGGTTGCAAGGTGTCACGATTTTTAGGCTCGGATTAAAAGTACATCATTTTATTTGTTCTCTATAAAAAATTGTTTATCGTATAAGAGTATAATAGGTTAGGTTACCTAACCTAACAGTATAATATGTATGTTATATAATTGTGATATATTGTTCTGTTAGCAGTGGACTCACCTCCTTGATCATCAAGGGCTACAAGTGTACGTATTCCTGCTTCCTTGCTCTGTTGTGCAGCAAATTGGAATGTAAATAATTTTCAAAAGTGTATCAGTATAAGTATGTGTTAATATTGTATAGTTATGTATGTATATAGTTTAATATATATATATATATATATGTTGAAAATTCGATAAACAGAATTTATTGACTTTTAACGTACTTAAAAAAATTATTAAAACCTAAAAAACTGTTTGACTCGTATAAATGTTTGTGATGTAGTACGCTTTGCTAAGGTTTGATAGGATACAAAGTAGCAACAAAACCACACTAATAAAAAAAACCAACCATTTTCTTAAATCATTAAACCAACTTTGCGCATCTGAGTACTGGGCTTATAGATCCCAAAAAAATACTGGAAATTCAACCGGAACTGGAAAATGGAATACTTCTATCTTTGGCGACAAAAACACATAAACACACACACATATGTATACAAAATGGGGGGNGGGGGGGGGGGGGGAACGTTGTGAGACGCTGTCTGAGCAGCGTCACTACTTTTATAACCGGTACTCAGCCAGTACATGTACATGTTTCTATATACATATCTCGATTTTTGTCAATTTTGTTTTGATTTTAAAATTTTCTTCTTAATCTATATCCACTTCTCACACTAAAACGCTCTTTTAGCTTGTTCTCCTCCGTCAGAGAAACACACTTCGCAAGGCAGAGTGTGCGAGTGAGAGAGAATGAGCAAGCCATCGATCTGAAACAGGAGGTGGTGGGGTGTTAGTCACAAACTCACTGGAAACTGATCGATGTATGTACACTTGTAACAGGTTGATTTTAAACATGTCTGGATGCACATTTGGGTTGCTCTAGCTCTTATTGTCTCTGAGAACTAGGCGCTCATCGGTACGGACGAACGGACTGAGAGATTTTATCTACTATGTCTACACAAACTTATATACACTTGTAACAGTGTGATATTAAAATAGTCTGGATGCACACTTGGGTTGCTCTAGCTCTTATTGTCTCTGAGAACTAGGCGCTCTTCGGTACGGACGGGAGAACTTAGAGATTTTATCTACTATGTCTACTCGGCTCTTGATCAACTGATCAATAACACTACTCGACACGATTTTTCCGCTTCGACTACTTTTCTTTTTTCACATCACTTAAGCATCTTCCATGTGGTTGTAATGAACTTAGTCGTTCTATAAAGCTGATGATTGCATATATAATGTATACCCAAACAGTTCGTGGTTTTAGCCTACCGTTTGAAAACTATTAAGCTTTGAAATTCAAAAGTCTTAATTTTTGTGCGGTTTTTTTACGAAACTTTAACTTTAAAAACTTAAGGCAAGTCGAAAAAAATAAATCCTCTATTTTGTATGTACAGGAGCATTGATTGGACGTAATTTAAAGCATTTCTGTTCAAAATCTTTGAAGAGACGGCTGAGCTAAAATAGTTAAACCATAAACTATTTTAAAAATAGTTTTTTTCGACTTTTGAATTTTGAATGTTACATTTTCGTAAAAAAATACAGCACAAAAATCAAAATTTTTGCATTTCAAAGCTTCATATTTTTCGAACGGTAAGCTAAAGCCATAACGTGATTTTTTGGTATACATATATTAGAGATACGTTCATCAGCTTTATGGAGTGGCTAAGTTCATTACAACCAGGTGTAAGATACTTAAGTTATGTAAAACAAAGAAGCGCTACCTCAAAAAAAAAGACTAAAAATTCTATAAAAAACAGTTCTAACAGAAAAAAAAAACCATAATACTTAAAAAAAAAAAATTAAGAAAATCAGAAAAAAGTTTGTTTGGTTGGTTTGTCGGAAACGTTTCCTTTCATCCATTTCGGACACAAATCAAATATATGTACTCTCCTAACTCTTCGATTAGAAAAGTGCAATAATCAATACATTTTTAGCCTAATTATGGCAATTTAATGAATACGTATTACATGGATATTATAATTTAATCATTTTATACGCCGTACTAATTGTATAAATATTTAAAAAGATAAAGAAAGAGAGGATTTATCCCACAATGCGGTACCTTCTGCATGCATTTTTGTCATCTTAGCTACAGTCTACTGTGATATGACACTGTTACAAAAGTATTTTTTTTATTTCGCCCAGTCCCATTCCGCCCTCTCAAAGAACGGATCTATGGCCTGCTCAATTTTAAAGATACTAGAAAACCAAAAACCCAGTTCCATATAGTCGTATCAGATCCCCGAGTCAGATTGGATCGCTATTAGGGGTCAGATTTGATCGTTATTACAGCCAGAATGAGAAAATCATTTCGCAGTGGCTACCTCCCATCGCTTTAACTAGGCATATGCTTATTAATTTTCTCTCCCACCAGAGACAATATAATGGGAAGCTGAGAAACGCCCTACGAGTTTTTTGCATACGAATTTTTCTGCATGGCTCTAACGCTGGGTCCAATCTTGTCATTCTTGCTATAATAATAATACAATATTATCCTTATTCGGAGATCTGATAGGTATGGAAATTCTCTACCGAACTGCGTTTGTAGTTTTCTACTATTTTTAAAATTGTGGATGTAGCAGATGTTCGCCATGTGTTGTACCGGAAGGGGTCTAAATTTTTCAAAAAAACTTGTTACCCCCACAAAATCCTGTACATTCACAATTTTGAAATGGAAAAAAACACAGTTCCTTAGAGAATGGCCATATCTTTCAAACCTCCGAATTAGGATCAGATCGGATTTTAGATTCTTCCACACCTGTCATCTATGTACATATGTATCACTTTTCACACCACCACTCCGCTTACTTCACGAGGCAGGGTGTGCGAGCTAGACAGAATGAGCAAGCTTTCACTGGTGGGGGTGGGAGGGTAGCCACTTAAAATAAATGTCTGCTGTTTGTAGCAGCAAAAATTATAATGCCGTGCTACGCCCTTTCCTTGGGCAGACCAAGTTATTGTCTAACGCTTCGCAAGCAATCATCGTCCAACGTGAGCCCGTTTGAATTGTAGGCGAGCGCGCAAAATCTTTTTGGTTTCCTTTCACATACTTGGGTCCTTACACACGACCACGGCGTAATGAAATGTGCAAAAAGTCAACGATCAAATTATAAAATGTTCACTTCGCAGAGTATTTATCATAAATGTGTAGTCAGAGCTGCCGAAAAAGCTCGGGAGCTTCCAACAATTTCGTTCTGGCTATAATAATGATCCAATCTTATCATTATTCGGAACTCTGATAGATATGGTCATTCTCGAAGGATCAGCGACTTTGGTGTTCTCGTATCTTCACTATCTTCATGCCAGAGATTTTCGTCTTTTTTGGGAGCGGAAGCGGCCGTGGCGAAATTTTCAAATATGTGCGCTTGTAAGAGAGTGATAAGACCAGCAGTCCGGATTCAAGTCTCTGAAATGTAAACTTTGTTTAATACGGACGGACAGACAGACGTGGCTAATACCACTCGGCTAGTAATGCTGATCAAGAATATATACACTTTATATTGTCGTCAACGTTTCCTTCTGTGCACATTGTTTTGTCCACAAATATACCCTTTTAATATACCCCTTTAACTCTTCGAGTGCCGGGTACAAAAACACTTAATTCATTAAAAAAATGTAAAGATCCAAATCTATTAGTGAAAATCTTCTCGGTTATAAAATAAAAAGTAGTGTTTATTATTAGTGTAAAAAGACGGGAATGTTAACTAAATACTTTGAAAACTTTTTGAAACTTTTTTCTGGGGGTGTGGGCGCCTCTAGGCCCCCTGCTTTTCACAACTTTTATTAATGACCTTTCTTCTGTATTAAAAAACTCTCGAGTACTTATGGATACTTATGTGTCCAGTATAAGGACATTTCATTTGGCCTCAACTGTACTACCGTAGTAGATTACTTTCAATAAACCTTCCATCCTTAGTTACTCGTAGAAAAATGTTTTTTGTAATTTTTATGAACAACTTGATCAAGAGGATGTTGATAGCCCCTTGTAGATCGAATTACCTTACATGGACCATTTCGGGTCTTATGCTCGGATTATAATTCCCTCTATCATAATATATCCTCCACTATCTCCCTTCCTCTCCCTTACCTTTTGGTAATTTGTCCTATTTAACTCTTTTAGTTGCGTTTAGCTCTAATTTTACTGGAATATTAACCTAAGATATATCTCTCCTGCATGTTCGCGACCGGTTCGCAATTTTGATTCGCATATGCCAGAACCTGTCCGCTACAGCTTAAAAAGTTTAAGAAAGTCAAAATTATTCCACGAAAACTGTCGCAGTTAACTTTCATGTTCACTCACTTTCAAAAACCGAAAAACTTAACAGGTTATTTAAAAGCTCGCAAGTGTGACTTTGGAATTAATACCTGTCATAAAATACGAATTCAATACATGTTTGAGTTCGTTTAGTTGCATATGGTCAATTACACTACTCGACGTAATCAAACTTCTTTTTTCGCTTCGAACCAAATCGACTTTTCCTTGATATACTGTGGGCCTTACATTTTTTAAAGAATTATGGTTTATTTTCTATGGCAGAAATTTATTTTCAAAGAATTTTTCAAGTCTGGTATTTTTTGTAACGGTTTCTTAGAGTTAGCACTTTTTTTCACATAACATAATGAACTTAGCGTTTTCACAAAGCTGATGAATGCATCTATATTGCATTAATTCGGCGTCGTTTAAGGTATTGCTCTTCAAAATCTATGAAGAATCGGCTAAACTAACATTGGTTGACCAACCGTAAGAACCCTAATTATACCCGGTACTCGAAGAGTAAATAAGGTATATTGTATAAAACTAATTCCGTAGGGAATGACCATATCTATGCGATCACCGATTTGGGATCAGATTGGATCATTATTATTGCCAGAATGAAGAAATTATTTTTGCTCATTCTCTCATTCCAAACTCTGCTTCGTGTAGTGTGCGGCTCTATGGGAGGGGGGCGAGCTTGTTGGCGTAAGAAGTGATGTAAATGTAGTGGTTGATCTACAGATATACTAACTGAGTAGCAGGTATTAAGGTTGTGACGCGTAAGAATCATTCCTTATCGTTTTTCTGTTAAATACCGACACTGTTTGGGCCTTGTTTTAATTTTACCATTTTTTCAGTTTTTTTCAAGTACTGCAGCCAGAAATACGTTGGCAGTTGGGCACGCAACCCTCCAACAAGATAATTATTTCACGGCGAATGGGACTTTCGTACGCATTGCAATCGGTAGTGCGTTTGAAATCTGACGAAACGTAATTTAAAAGTGTTGATCGATATGATACCTCTCTGGACGATCTGTATAACTGGTATTCAAGTCAATTTTGGACAACCATTCAATTTTGATACTTTTGAAAAAAAACGAAGTGTCTTTTGCGCGACCGATTCTAACTTAGACTTCGGCGAAAGTATATGCAATATTTGAATGCGATTTTTTTTACAAATGTGGTGAATCGGGGGAATCAAGAAATTCTAACAACTCAAAATTGTGGCACTACTTAAAATGTTTAATTCTCTTACGAGGTCGACAAAGGTCAAAAAACTATATATATATCAATTATATATCTGTATTAATTAAAAATAACTAAAACTAAACTAACAAGTACAAAAAAAACTTCTGTGGTATATTTTTTGGGTACTTTTTTTAAATAAATACTATTTTACTATTACTATTATCTCATATGAGAAAAGCGATTCTTGAGAAAGGTACTGACTTTTTCCGAGTTTTTAAAGTCGACATTATGTTAAAAATACGTCACAAAGCGCAATATTTACGAAACGGTAAGCGTGAGTAGCCGTAAAGTGTTTGGGTCCACTTTTTAGCTGCATCAAGCAGCTAGATAAACTAAGTTTTTTACAACCATATTTAAGATATTAAAGTTATGTGAAAAAAACTACCACCTCTAAAAAAATCTTAAAAATAAACGATTTTTAAAATTCTTCAAATAAAAGTTCTACAATGGAAAATCCAAAAATCATTAAAAAAAATTAATACCCAATATCTATCAGAACGAAAAGGGACGTGTGAGACGCTTCTTACTCGTCACAACTTATATACCCTGCACTCATTACAACAACTGCACCTTAGCGGTTCAATTTTACATTTTTTCTTCATCTGTCATCTACATCAACAACACTACTCACACCAACACGCTCGGCAGGGGCCGAGTGAAGCAGAAGCAGAGTGTGAATGAGAGAATGTAAAAAGAACAACAAAAGCTGCGGGACAGGGTGGGTTTAGCCACTATAAATTAATTTCTTCATTGTGGCTATAATAATAATCCAATCGGATCCCAACTTGGTGATCTTGTAGATATGGCCATTCCCTACGGAATGGCGTTTTTAGTTTTCTTTTACCTTCAAAATTTTAGATTTGGGAGGTTTTCGCCCTTTTGCGGAGGCGGAAGGGGGCGTGGCTCATTTTTGAAATACACTGGTTTCAGTGTGAGCATACAGCAGTCCGGAGCCAAAATTTGGTGGCTCTAGCTTTTATAGTCACTGAGAACTAGCCGAAAAAGAAGACGGACAGACAGATATGGCTCAATCGACTAGGCTATTGATACTGATCAAGAATATATATACTTTATGGGGTCGGAAACGCTTCCTTCTGTGCGTTACATACAACTGTTATTCACACAAATACAATATACCCTATTTACTCTTCGAGTACCGGGTATAAAAAGTCGGTATGGTTCCATGGGGAAAAAAAAAGTTCGATTTGATCGAGTAGTGTAATTAGTCTTTGTTTACGTTCTACTTCTTCTACTACTTCTTCCTCTTGTCGATATATCAGCTATTTATCAGCGATATTGGAAAAAAGTACTACTTTCAGGATCCATTTCTCAAAGTCTGGTCCAAAAAACGGACGATCACTAGGACTATCACAAGAAATGGATAATGGATCGGCGGTCAAGTTTTTCTGGTGGGGCCGTTCAACATATTGTTGAAACATACTGTATAACATATTATTAAACTATTTTATAAAATATGGTGTTTTTGGTCCGGTGTGGCATTTCCCGTGCTATAGACGCTTGAACGAAATTTTAAAGAGTGTTTCTACCTCTAATTTTTTTTTGTAAAATGATGCCATCTTATCGAGACACCTAGGGACCACACTTATCCGCAATTCTCCTATGTATGTTGCATCCACTTTCGCAAAAATCGGAGTTTGAATCGGTCACGCGAAAGCCACTTCCGTATTTAAGCCGTTTGGCTTTTAGAAAAAATCGAATGGTTGCCCAAATGGACTTTAGCGACTTTAATGGTAACATATTTTTGAAAATCCGTCTTGTTTTGAATGTTCTACAGCTTGCAATACGCAAATCGTTCTGTTCGACGTAAGAATATTTAACATAAATCATTTATTTTCTTGTATTCAACATTTTTATATTTAATTAATGATATTATAAGATTGCAAAGATACCTTATAAGCTTGAATGAACGGTTAATTTGAATTTTTCTTCTAATCTTTGCTCCAATTGTATGTTTGCGACCGAATAGAGAACTTTATTGTAATTGCTTCGTAATGAATGCAAGTAGAGGGCTGATACACCCGTCAAATATAAACGATGAGGAACGTTGTGAGACGCGCTGGAACTTGTCAAAACATATATACCCGGTATTCGGTCAGTATATACATTTGTAAATATTTGTGAATGTAACCTTATGAGTTGTTCGAATCTTACATTTATAAATTTAAAACTGTTTGATTTGAAACATGTTAAGTGTGTTAGTACAGCAGTCTGAAGGCTAAACTTGGTTGCTCTAGCTCTTATGGTCTTTGAGAACTAGGCGCTCATCAGGACGGACAGACAGACATACACACATAGACTCGGCTTTATACAATTAATAGGGTCGGAAACGTTTCCTTCTGTGCTTTACGCACATTGCTCAGACCACATATACAATATTCAGTATTTACTCTTCGAATACCGGGTACAAAACCCACATAACGAAAAAACGTACGTTAGCGACCCAAACGTTCCCGACCGATTCACGACCGATGAATTAGTAAGTAGCACAGATACATTTTTGTGTAGATACTCTATGGAAAGATCCTTTAAAAAAAATCAAATTCGCTTCATAATAACCCGTTCCAATTCGTTTGCGTCTTAATTTGTTGAAAACTAAATCTCGATGAAGCGCATCTTTAGCAATTGACAAGAAACTAACAGAATGTTATCGAGTGGTAAAGCAAATATTTCTAAAAGTTTTGTTCGCGAACCACAAAAACTCCCAGATATGTATGTAACTTAAAATGTTCTTAAAATTCTTAACTTATTCTTAGAAATACATTCATATTTATTTAATGTTGAACACTTACCTCCTCGCAGAGAGCAAGCATTCGCCGCGTACTTTCCAGAGACTACAATAAATAAATTATTAAAATTAGTCACAAGGAAAACATTTTTTTTTTAGGAACAATTTGTGTGTCTAAAAATCTGGATTTAGACGGTATTTCTATACGATTTGTCATGAGTTGGCACCTTTAAACTGAGAGGATTTTGAGGATTTTTAAAAGAACACACAACGAACATCTCGGGATACTGTGGGGGTAAGTTTTTGTGAAGTCTAGTCAAAGTTGATCGAGAAGGGACGTGTGAGACGCTTCTTACGCGTCACAACTTTTATACCCAGTACACTATACTACCTCTGCACCTTAGGGGTTTTTTGTCAAATTTTACATTTTTTCTTCATCAGTCATCTACATCTACAACACTTCTCACACCAACACGCTCCTTTAGCTTACCCCCGTTCCCTAGAGCCGCACTCTGCAGAGACACGGCAGAGGCAGAGACCGCCCACTGTAGAAGCAGAGTGTAAATGAGAGAATGTGAAAAAAACAACAAAAGCTGCTGGATGGCGTGTCTTTAGCTACTGCAAATTAATTTCTTCGTTCTGGCTATAATAATGATCCAATCGGATCCCAATTCGATGATCTGATAGATATGTTCATTCCCTACAGAATGGCGTTTTTAGTTTTCATCTATCTTTAAAATTGTAGATTTGGGAGGTTTTCGCTCTTTTGCACTTGTAACAGTGTGAGCATACAGAAGTCTGGATGCAAAATTTGGTGGCTCTAGCTTTTATAGTCTCTGAGATTATTTCTGACAGAGTTAATTTGGGCAAGCGAGACGTCAGTTACCCCCTCGACGAAATCATGTTGACTTCCAGGTAACATGTTTGAATCATCCTGTTGCCAAGATAGAGATGGGTTGTTGAAGTCACCCATGACTAGTATCTGATCAGCACAGCCTAAAGCAAAAACTACAGATTGAATTACAGAACGGCGGTTAAAATAAAAAGCGGCATCAGATCTGGGTGGAATATAAGAACAGGTCAAAAATATATATGCTGTTCCAATACGGATTTTGACTGCAACGAATTCGATACCATGGATGTTGTTGAATGGAAACAGCTCGGACGCAAATGCCGTTTTCACTGCAATAAGAACCCCACCAGCGAATGATGGACGATCCATTCTATAAGTGGTGAACTTTTGGACGAGAATTTCGTGATCGGAGACAGAGGAGTTAAGCCAGGTCTCAGTTATGGCTCAAAAGAGGCACTGTCCGTATGTATTTTAGACAATTTACCTAAAAGACTGCGTACGTTCTTATATTGGATGGAGAAATGGTTCCTTAGTTTTTTTAAATCTTAGGAAGAGTAACTCGAGGATTCTGGGTAGAGTCTCTGGCAGAAATTCATGCATAATATTGTGCTCTGGCCATGCAGCCGGTTCCAAAGCTTTGGATACAAGAGAATCGGGAAGAAGAATTTTGAAAGATGAGATATGTGTATGTGAGCTTATGTGTAAAATTAAATGTATTTATAATAAAGTTATCCGGCGTCGATTGAAGAGCTAGATGTAGTTTGACATCAGCCGGTGTGGCTTCGGGAATAAGACGAGAGACAAAGATTGCTTTGCGGGGGATCACCGCGCTGAGTGGAACACCGGAAAAGCGAGCTGGTGGAGCTACTCTTAAAAGTCTCTAGGCGG